GACAGCTTGAGGCTCCTGTCTCAAAAAAATAAAAGAAAACACAAGACCTGCAAAAGGTAAAATATTTAACATCTGGCTCTGTCCAGGAAAGTGTGCCAATCCCCACTCTGGACCTCCAAAGGCCTGCCACAGACTTTGGATACTGGGACTTTGCTCAGGGATTTCCTGGGAAGTAACACCCAGGAGGATTCTCCTTCTTCTTCTTCTTCTTCTTTTTTTTTTTTCTGAGACAGAGTTTCACTCAGTTGCCCTGGTGTTGAGTGCCACGGCATCACAGCTCACAGCAACTCTTGGGCTCAAGCAATCCTCTTGTCTGAGCCTCCCTAGTAGTTGGGACTATAGGTGCCCACCACAACCACTGGCTAGCTTTTCTATGTTTAGTATAGATGAGGTCTTGCTTTAGTTCAGGCTGGTCTCTAATTTCTGAACTCAGGCAATCCATCCTCCTTGGCCTCCAGGAATGCTAGATTACAGGGGTGAGCCATAACACCCGGCCCAGGATCCTTCTTGAATCTGCCTTACCCAGTGGATGGCTGGTGAGGGTGGGCACACTGGTGGCTGTGAGTGTCAGCTCCTTCTCTTCACTGCCTTCTATGGGGCCCAGTAAGAATCGAACACGCTGTTCAGGGGCCGGAGGTTTCTTAGCATTGAGACCTAAACGCACACAAAGTAAAGAATGTCATGTCAATTTTGTTCCAACATCTGGGACAAAGGTGGGCAAGGAAGTATGAACATGTAGAAGACAGACGAGAAGCACACAGTATAGAGAACAGAATGGCAGAAGTTAAAAAACAGACTGGGGTTCAAATCCTACTACTTATCAACCCTGTGACAGCATTCAAGAATGAGTCAGTTTCCCTATCTGAAAATAGGGGAAAGCGAGAAGTAATGAAATTCATAGAACAGAAGATTAAAGTAAGCACTCTGCCCAGACACACAGGTCATGTGGTTTCATTTTGCAGGCCGAATCAGATACGGAAACGGACTTCCAGTAGAATGGGCGTGGGGTGGCGGGTCTGGTTCGAGGCACTCACCCTTCAGAAGTTGCAGCTCTATGGTATCCCGCAGGTGCTTCCATTTTAACCCCGGGGGCTTATAGACCGCGAAGAGCCCATTCAGCCGCGCCAGGGCAGCGGACCTCATACCTTAAGCCGGCGGTCTGTGTTCTTGGGAAAAGTGGGATCTGGACGGAAGTGCCGTACAGTCCCGCCCTCAAATGTGGTACTCACACGGGCGCCGCCATGTTACACAGCCGGAAGAGGTTCTTTTCTTATTGTCCTCGGGGTAAACGTCGTGAGGCGAAGGAGGTAGGGCCCGGCGGTGAACCGCAAAGTTGGGGGTGTTAGATCTTCTGTGGGCCCTCTTTTTTTGGGGTGAGGTGAATCGGAGGGTGTCTTGTATAGGTGGAATTTGTGGTAGGTTGCGTGGGTTTCCTTTACATACTTAGCCATAGGATCCTTTTCTTGCCGTAAATCGAGTTTTGTTTTGTTTTGTTTTCTTTCTCTGGTGCTTCCGTGACCAGAGAAACAGCGCGTCGGCCTCGCCCCGCCATTCCTTCAGCGGATGTCCGCTGCCGTGGCGACCCTGCTACGCCGGGCCCTAGGTCCACTGCGCCGGCTCCCGGGCGGTCCCCGACCTGCAGCAGGCAAGTGGCGCCGGTTCCCAGGCGGAGGCAGGAAGGAGCCCGGCGAGGCCGGCTCCTCTTACCGCGGCATCTTTCTTGCCCTGCAGATGTCCCCCGGGCCGGTAGCCATGGCGCCGGCCTGCTGTACCCGGGCCACATCCCCACGTCCCCGCTGCAGAAGGCGCTGCTGGCCGCCGGCTCCGCCGGAATGGCTCTCTACAACCCTTATCGCCACGGTAAGGCCGCCCGCGCTCGGTGATCCCGTGGGGCAGCTGGGGGTCTGGGCGCGCCCTGGACATGGAAGTTTCCTAGAGGTAAATGGAGACGCTAAGCGGGTTGCACCTCGTAATCACCGGAACGTTTATAAAAACGCAGATGGCTGGGCCACAAAATCGGAATCTGCAGGAGGAGGGAAAGAGGAAAGGGGTGTGAAATCTGGACGTCTGACTTTTTATTTTATTATTATTATTATTTTTTTTTTTGCCGGGGCCAGGTTTGAACCCACCGCCTACGGTATATGTGGCTGGCGCCCTACTCCTTTGAGCCACAGGCGCTGCCCTGGTCTGCCTTTTTAAAACTACTTCACCGGAGATTTTTTCATCCAGCCATACTGAGAACCTCTGAACTAAATTAAACAAATTATAAACGCCAATCAAATTATAACATGCCACTACAGAGTAAACTTTTTTTTTTTTAGCCACAGAGTCTCACTTTGTTGCCCTTGGTAGAATACCGTTGTCACAACTCAGCAACCTGCAGCTCTTGGGCTTAGGCGGTTCTCTTGCCTCAGCCTCCCCAGTAGCTGGGACTACAGGCCTCGGCCACAACGCCCGGCTATTTTATTTTTTTTGTTGCAGTTTGCCCGCGACGGGTTTGAACCCACCACCCTTGGTATATGGCGCGGGTGCCCTACTCACTGAGCCACAGGCGCCGCCCCAGAGAATTAACTTTGTGAAATCAAGCACCATGCCTGCCTTGTTTCACTGTATCTGCAGCACATTGGATAGTCCCTGGCACATACTAAATGCTCAAGAAATGTTTGCAGGATGTATGACTAGAACAATCTAAGATGCTACAGGGGTTTTCTCATCCTTCTAATAGAAGTAATGCTAACTGCTCCTTTGCAACTTACTGTGTTTCCCCGAAAATAAGACACTGTCTTTTTTTTTTT